CTTTCTCATTGATACTCTACGGAAGTAAGTCAGCACATCCTCTGGATCTGTAAAGCACGAACCTTGAGCATTCATACGGATATTGTTGTCAAATATTCCATGTGTTAAGCAATCTACTGCTTTTGAGCCAGTTATATCGCAACGATTAATCAATCTTATTTTATCATAATAATATTCCTCCAACGACTCGTTCCTCCTACTCTTTCGGGCCAGCATTTCTACTAGTAAATCTCCATAGTTTTCTTCACATGGAAAAGCTTTTAAAAGCTTGCTTTGCCATTCACTCCATGAAAACTTCACACTCGTTAACCCATCATACCATTTTTTTGCTAGGCCTGATAACCGGGGTAGAGCATAATAAATAGTTTGCCTCTCCGACCAACCATAAACAGAAGCTGACTCATTTATTTTGGAAAGCCAATCTTTCATTGTCTGTGCCTTGGCTTGTGGATCAAATTCTGGAATGACACCTTGCGATCCATGACCCTGTGGTGTATGATTTTTCCCTTCCAACGCCACCACCAAACGGCTAAGTATATTTTCTGAGAATTGGTTTTCTTTTTCAAACTCACTGTATCGATTCACAAATTGAGATGATTTAGAATGTTCTTGGTGTTTAGACATTGTGTTTGATTGATGAGAGGGTATACTAGATGATGAAGAAGTACTATCACTAGAATGATATCTTGATAATTTCCTTTTATATCCCTTATTCTGCTTTCGTTTGCTACAGTATTTAGATACTGAAGAATTATCTGAGTGAGAAACATATTTTTTTCCTCTCTTAGCTTGTGTACGTCGAATAGATGAAGGGGAAGAACTTCTACTAACAGACCGCACTCTTTTAGCCTCCTTAATGCGACTACGACCACGACGTTGTGACTTTGCACCAGTAGACGTTTCATATTGTCGGCTTTTCCTATTTCTCTTTTTGTTTTTCAAAGTTAATTCATCATCTCTTTCACACCTCATAGGGGGTGTAGCAGGTTCTGACATTTCTACAAGATAGAAATAGATATGATGTCAGTAGGAGTCAATGACTACTTTATATTATGCACACTGAGTAACAGATACAATGACGAGATTCAGTAGAATAGCAATAATCCAAAGAATAATTAAAATAAATAAAACAACTTCTTGACTTTTATTAGTAGAAAATTAATTAATAATAATTAGCACTAAATCTTTGCTTAACCTCTGGTCTGTATGGATACTGGCTCCCTGTACATGTATATAAAATATACATACATTTATGTGTTCATGTTTACACATTAGTGCATCTATAAATAGATGCTTTACAGAAAAGAAAAGAAAAAAAAACAAAGTTTAATGACTATCTAAACATAATATTATATTCCTTCTCAAATACAATAAAGGTTGGACAAGTGAATTAGGCAATAGTTTATTCTACTCGAACTACTTCACAAGTATCACTTTGCACAGTCAGTTAATTAACTTTATAAATTCCAAATAATTGTAAGCTTTTTTCATGTAAATAGCTAATCAATACTTCAATTCAACATATTCTGAACACTTTTACTTATCACTTCCTGTAAGTAGTTTTATTAATTGAATCAATAAACATTAAATGTAATAAACTACAATTTTATTGCTTTGCTTATGCATATTTTGAATTGAACCATAGTAACCTGATTTCATTCATACAAATGCAATGCAAGTAATATCCCATGAGTTTCTGACACAAACATTTTAGTTTTCTATGTTTTCTCAGTGTTTTAACAAGAGTAAAACTTTTATTTTGACTCATTTCATAGTAACGCAATTTTCAACTCATAGGTACTTGACAACAACTCACCAGTTATCTTCCTTAGGTTCTTTCCACTTCTGAATTTATTAAAAATCAAACAACTCTCAAGGGTTCTTACTTTTATTTTCTTTTACTTTATCTGTACAATTCACATTACAAAATACGTTATCCCTTATCTTTTCGCTTTTTCAACTATTACGCACTTTTCTCAAGCCGTCATCTCAGATTATATCGTCCACAGATTAGCCCGTCCACAGATGTTCGAATATTGTCTACGATACTCAGATTTCGTTTCGTTTTAACTGTGTCATCATATTTGAAATACTGTTCTATGTTCATAAATAACAATAAATGTTGTAATTGCTAACATTTCTAGCCGATTCAGAGTCCAAAGTAGCGCCATGGTCAACGTCAGAAGCAGGTTCGGTGTCCAAGGGTAAAGCCGGGTATTCATTTCGAGTGAAATCGGAGTCCATTATAAAAGCAAGTCGGTTTTACAGAAAAAGAGAGTCGAAAGTAGCGTTCACAGTACACGAAGGAAAAGCGAATAATTTTTTTTAGAAGTGTCATACATCAACTTTGACAGGTTATGGTGTTGTCATATAAAAAAAACGATCAGGAATAATCGTTTTCTTTATAATTTGTAATATAAAGAATTTTCACTAAAACATCGTGTTTTGCAAGTTTTAGTCTAATTAAAGGTAAATAATTAATGAATTTTTAAAAGATTACTTGATATCATGTCTTGGCGGAATATATTTTATTTTTATAATAAGCCATTCCTAATCGATTTCTTATTAGCGATTAAAGATTTTTATTACTTATTTAATGCTATAGCAACACAGGATGCAATGGTGTCTTTTTCCTTCTAAAAATACTATTAAAATTATTAAAAATGTATATTTACTTTCCGGCAAAGAGAGTTTCAAAAATATTTTAAGTATATTTAATTATAGTTTGCTGTAAAAATATTTTTTAGGAAACATCTTGTTCACGCGAAGCCGCTACGGAACAATTCCCTTTATGGTTGTACCAGTACCCATATTAAAGTTAAATTTTCATTTAATTCTTGGTAGAGTCATAGTGTAGAATAGTTTCTAAATTTAGCAGTAACCCTTTTGGACGTAAGTAATTTTGCAGTAAATTTCAATATATAGACAACCCAAAATGAGTATGGATTTGCATTAAACCCCCTTTGCGATTATTAGTCCAATGCTTTCCCGGCTAATATGGTATAATAATGTGGTAGGTCTGGCGCCCGAGTATTCTATTTAATTAATTTGGGCCTATCCATTTCAAAAATTTATTTTCTACATTTGACACCATTGCATTTATTTTATTATTACAATTGACGCCAGCGTACAGGGACGTGTTTATGCAATCCATTTCATTTTGTACCTATAATAGTAGTCTTGTCTGGTTGTTTGTCATCTTTATTATTACATTTGTGATATAATATAGCTTTTGTACTTGAATTTTGATACATAAACATAGATTTTGTCTGTAATATTATTACAATTTAACTTCATGTTTTGGATGGTTCGTGTTAATATTAACTTTTAATTTAACTACTTGTTTTGAACTTTATTTCATATACGTCTGTAGTGATGCATCCAGTGTCATTTTGCTGTAGAGCTATATGGTGTAATACAGCTGTAGCCACAATCACAGCTAGTGTGTGATTTAGTTTTAACCTTAACTTTTGAGAAAGACAAGGAAATCTTCTTTTCCAAACACCAAATGTCCTTTCAACTGTGTTTCTGGTTTTGATTTGTGCTTCATTGTAACGTTTTTCTGCATTTGTTTAGATTTCACAATGATAGGTCACATGATGATATTAACTTTGAGTTTCCTCCAAGTGATCTGAGGAAACATGTGAGTGTTGTTCATTTTACAGAACCATCAGTACTGAAAAGTGACCAGCGCTCACAGCAACATATACGGTCTGAATCATCTACTGTAGGACCAGAGAGTTCTGATGACCAATTAAGGACACGGTTGAGCACAATTACAGTAGATGACTCAGAGAGTGACTCTGTAGAGTCAAATAGTTCTGCGGATCCTACTTACGTTCCAGGTCAATCGACGCTGGAAGAGCTGTCAACGGAACCATCGGAATATGAAGACACTGAGGTGGCTTCAATATCTGTCCTGATATCAAAAAGGTTATGCAGTGATGGTGATGAACCAGAGACAGTACATGATGCTTTGACAAGCACAGAAGCAGGTGAGTAGAAAAAGGCTATGTTAGATGAGTTAAAATCCTTTAATGATAATGAATGTTGGACTCTTATCGAGAAACCGAGAAACCAGGAACCAATTAAGTGCAGATGGGTTTTTAAAAAGAAGAGAGAGGTCTCAATGGTGAACTTTTAAACTACAAAGCCCGATTAGTTGCAAAAGGTTACTCACAAAAATATGGAGTCGACTACGAGGATACATTCTCACCGGTGGTAAGACACTCTACCATTAGAACTCTACTCGCTATTGCTGCAGAATATGATTTAGACATTGACCATCTTGATGTGAAGACTGCATTTTTGAATGGAAATCTTAAAGAAAATGTATATATGGAACAACCAGAAGGCTTCGTTCAAAAAGGTAAAGAACATTTGGTAATTGAATAAAGCCATATACGGCTTAAAACAAGCTTCCAAGATGTGGTATGAAAAAGTAAATGAAGTATTATTACAGAAAATGAATTTTAAAAGAATTTCTTCAGAACCGTGTGTCTTTTACATGAGAACTGAAAATGAATTGATAATATTGGCACTCTATGTAGACGATATATTATTATTTTGTCCAAAGAACTCTATATTAAAAGAGAAGATTAAGTATGATCTTATGAACACTTTTGAAATGAAAGATTTTGGCCCTGTTCAGCACATTCTTGGAATGAGAGTAATTAGAAGTGAAAATAATTTTATTTTCACTTCTCTCATTCCACTCTTGACCAATCCGGATATAAAGAGAGTTTTGGAAAAGTTTAACATGGCGGATTGCAAACCTGCAAGAACTCTAGAAAAAGGGTTGAAATTACCAAAATGTGAAAATAATAACGAAAATTCTCATTACAGGAATTTACTAGGCTGTCTCATGTATATTGCAGTATGCAGCAGACCAGGGGGCCAATCGCCTATCGGAAATGCTTTGGGAAACGCTAACGCTTACGATTTTATATTGTTATTTCTAGCCGCCTGAGGTTTTCGAATACCTCACGCTCATTTTTTTAAATATTGTTATTACTAATGCAAAAGAAAAAGAAAGAGCGCGAGGCATTTGAATACCTCAGGCGGCTAGAAATAACAAAATAAAATCGTAAGCGTTAGCGTTTTCCAAAGCATTTCCGTTAGGCGATTGGCCCCCAGACATTGCTCACGCTGTGAGCATGCTCAGTCAGTTCAACGAGTCCCACTCTGAAAGACATTGGAAAGCGTTGAAGCGTGTCCTTCGTTATATAAAAGGTACGATAAACTATGGTTTAGTATTTCAAAAGGGGGGTTTGGATGTAACTGCTTATGTTGATGCCTATTGGGGTGCAAACGAACTCGATCGTAAATCTTTTACAGGCTTTATTTTTAAGTTAGGTAACTCTTTGATCTCTTGGGAAAGTCGAAAGCAAAAAACTGTTGCTCTCTCTAGCACAGAGGCTGAATATATGGCACTGTCAGATGCGTGTAAGGAAGCTCTTTTTGTGCGAAATTTTCTTAAGGAATTGCTAAATATAGACTGTAAAATATTGTTATATAATGATAACCAATCTGCCCAAAAATTAACTATCAATTGTATGTATCATAGTAGAACTAAACATATTGATGTGAGACATCACTCCATTAGGGAAAACATAATAAAAAACATTATTGATGTTAAATATTTGTCAACTGATTTAATGATAGCAGACATATTGACAAAGCCTTTAACTAAAGATAAACATGATCAATTTGTGAAAGGTTTATGCAAGATCATGTAAGATCTGTAATTTACATTTAATACATGTCAAGTAAGTATATGTATTGACAATGTTTATTGTTTTTGTATTTCACAAAATTGTATTAGGTTAAGTGTGTTATCTTTGTAATATTGTTCTTTTTATTGGCTGTTAGTAGATAGATAAGATACCTATGTACTGTTTTAAGGATTCTGTTTCATAATGTATGTTTCTTGGTATTGGTTTAAGGGCTAGTATTAGAATTGTCTTTGTAAACGCAATACCATACATAGTTTTAGGTCTTTCATAATGTAACTTATAACTAACTTTGTAAACAGAAATGTATTAGGTATCTAATCATTCTAATGTCATTCCTTCTTGTCTTGCTGCGTATTTGTGCCTAGCTGTGTCTCCTCGAAGTGAAATAAAGATCTACTTAAATCGTTACTGGTGTTCATATTTCTGGCCATAATCCATCAATTCTTAATACTACTTATAAATATAATACATTAATTAAGTCTGGAGTAACTAGATGAACATGTTATTTTTGATGTTTATTTTGCTTTGAATTTGAATTAAACCTCGGGATTGAATTAACAAGCGTCAAGGACTTTGATATCCACTGAAAACTTTGACTGGGACTAGTATTTTTAACTATTTTTATATCATGTCATATTATATGGTAATACAACACGTTCTATAACGACATTTATTAAAGGAGTAGAAATCTGTAACACAATAAATAATGTTTTGTTTTCTATGGAATCTGTCAATTTTATATCAGAATATCTCAGAAAAGGCAACTATTTTAGTCAAGTGGTCATTGCTATTGGGTCGGGTCCCAGAATGCCCATCCTCCTTTGTATAGCGTTAAACGTGTTATGTTCTTATAATATACCTATAAAATATTATTTTTTGTTTAGATAATGGGAAAGGGCAGAAAGAAACGAGATGACATTTGGAAACACTATCGTGTGGGTCCTGATAAATCGGTGACTTGCAAGCATTGTGATCATAAATAGAAAATAGCAAACGTCAACAAAATGGGAGGTCATTTATTAAAATGTGAGAAGTGTCCTGCAGTTGCTAAAAATGAGCTGAAAAGTCAAACTGACGTAAATATCATCAATAACACTAACAGTTCCGTTGTAATGACGACATCTTCGCAGCCATCGCTTCCTGTTGGTTCGCTGGATTCAGAAAATAGTAAGCATAGTTTGAATCAGCCCTCGTCGTCATCACAAAGGCAATCCACAGAAGAGGAAGATATCGAGAGGCTGACAATAAAATTAGCAAAGGCAGTATTCATTTCTGGATCACCTTTGAGCCTGGTAGAACATCCATTATGGATAGATTTTTTTAAAGATCTGCAACCATTATTTAAGTTACCATCACGTAAGATCTTATCAACTACGCTTCTGGATAAAGTGCACACGGAAATTAAAAAAAAGGTGATTGAATATTTACAAACAACAAGTTCTTTGCATTTACAGTGTGACGGATGGACCAATGTCAATAACGAAGGAGTGATAAAATTTATTATTTCAAATCCTGAACCATATTTTGTAAAAAGTTTATCCACAGAATATAACAGGTATACCAGTTTGTACCTAAGCGAAGAAATTATAAAAGTAATGCGTGCTAACGGTGAAACAAAATCTGTAGCTTTGATTGGGGATAACGCCAGAAATCTCCAAAAAGCTTTCGAATTAGTAAAAAATTATATTCCACAAATAGTGCCTCTTAATTGTGCAGCTCATACATTGAACTTACTAACTCACGACATTATTAAATGTGAAGTTATCAAGCTACTGATGTTGTAAGAACAATAAAAAAAGCCAGCCTTCAAACTTATTATTAAATAAAATTATTAAAGAAAAGAAAACAGGAGAGACCTTAAAATTGCCCGTAAAAACACGTTGGGGTAGCCATGTAGCTTGCTTTAAAAGTATAAGCAAAACAAAAGCAGCCCTACTGGCCCTGTATTCACGAAGCCACAGTGCTTCCTTCAGAAACTAAATCTACTCTTCTAGATGACAATTTCTGGAGTATGTTAGAAGATTGCATAGTTATTCTGGAACCAGTCACCGAGCCTATTTTTATTTTAGAGGCAAACAAATGTAATATTCACAATGTCTTTTCTATATTCAAAGACGTGAAGTCAGTCATTTTACCCAACATAACAATCATAAGTATTGAGGACAAACAAGCAATTTTGGAATCAGTTGATAAAATAACAAAAGATTGTATAAAACCTATACATTTAGCGGCCTATCTTTTAGACCCAAAACACAAGGATTGACATTAAACGAGAATGAAGATCTGGCAGCAATGGAATTTATTGAAATAATGGCGCGAAATCACAATTCTGATGTAGTCACAGATTTAGCCAATTACAAAGCCAGGGATGGATTTTGGAGGAAGCGCTTTATATGGGAACAAGTTGAAAATATAAGTCCTGTAACATAGTGGAAGGGTCTTTGCTCGTCTTAAAACCTCAGCAAAATAGCAGTACGCATTTTAACCGCCCCGTGCACATCTGCAGCCACAGAGCGATCTTTCAGTAAGCATGGACACATAAATTCTAAGAAGCGAAACCGTTTAACAACCGAAAAGGCAGCTAAACTGGCATTCGCGTCTTATACCAGGGATTTGCTTCACAAGTACAATTAAATTGTGGGATCAGAAGATAGTGAATGTCTTAAAGATAGGATGACTCCAGATCATGTTCAAAACATTCAACAATCTGAAGAAAACCAATCTAGTGAAGATGAAAGTCAGGACGATGATCGGAACAAACGTACTACGGAAGAAATTATCTTAGCAACAAGATCACCACAGCTTGATATAGAATTTTTTGATTGTGGTCGTAATACTAGCAGTGATGAGGAGTGAAAATAATATTAAATGAGTACCCACTTAAGTACGACTGTGAATTTAATTATTAATTTAAAAAAAATGTTTTGTTTAATTGTTAATATTGGGGACTAAAATTAACCTCCCATAGTTCCATATTTACTTACTACATTATTAGAGAGATTTAGTCCATTTTAATAATATTGTGTTGATTATAATTAAGCAGATAATTATGATGATTAATACTAACTCTACAAAATTACTCACTTTACAAGTAAGATATAAAAAGTTTAAGATAATTAGATTTTATATGCTGTGCTGATATTACTACAATTAAAGATTTTTGATGTACTAAACTAATCCGATAGGTATGAAAAGGTCACGCACGCAGTTCGAATATTTTTAGAATTGTTGATTATTACGTGTATTGCATACCAACTTATACTGACTAAGATGCATTGTATTTATTGTGTTATGAAACGAAAAATCTAAGTAATTGTGACTGATTCACTTGTTTTGAAAAGTTTTCAAGATATTTATTATGTTATTACTCATCTATTTCATCGTAAGGAAAAGGAAGCCATTGCAAGTCACTTTTAGCATCTGTCAGTTTCATATTATAGTCACATGACCATCCTAAATAATATGAGATTGACAGTCAACTGTGTAATGTGACCTATAAATAGTTCCACATAATGTGTGCAGCATTTGCTTATAAAATGTGCAATCAGTTTCTAACGTTTGTTTTTTTTAGAGTTTATTTAAGTTGAAAATATAATATTGATTAAAGATTTAAAATATAATCAACTTTGTTTTATTTGAACTTATCTTTAATGGTCAAGATCAAAACTAACATCGTAGATCGTTTTAAGGACGGTAAAGCCCAATAAATAATTTTATAGACAGTATTCAATTTTTACCCGGAATAAAAAAAAACCGGGATAAATGGGTATTATTTAATTTTTACCTTTTTTTACCTTTCCTCCCAACTTTACCCACCTGCCCATCTCTACGTGCAACGCAACTCACAAGAACGTCCCATCCGCCATTTTTTTTTACAATACCGAAGTACAACGTGCATATTGAGTACGGGTGTGCGAAAGTTAATTTCTCGCCAATTTTTTTCATTGTGTCGCGTGTGCGTGAGTCTTTTTTGGTGACGAGCTGGCATCAAAGACTGACACTGCTATAAGTGCCCGTCGCGATTACACGTTTGTGGTGTCTGTCTTTGACGGTTGCAATGCAATTTTTGAATTGAAGTGGAAGTGCAAGAAACCTCACATAAGTTCGTGTTCTGTTAATACAATCATCGGTCGCACATTGTGTGATACGAACTATAAATCTACCTATGTGGTACAGGTTTTGGCGAGAACAATAGTTTTACGAGTGTATGGAACTATCCAATCTCGACATTTTGTGGACATATATTCCTAATAAAATAGTGTAGTCTTCTTCAATAAAAACTCGGTGTTTTTAGTAATTTCGCTTTATGTTATAATAAAATCAATTTAGCAGTAACAGTTTTCTTGACAGAATGAATTTAACAATTTTAACAAGTCATGACATTATGGTCGGTAAAACCAGCCGAACACACGAACGCGGGCGACATCTGCTATCTGCCGGCGACAACCAATGACGCTTGGGCTAAGAGCGCTCCGGTGTCCCATTCAATAGATGGCGCCATCCGTTATATAAATGCAAGTTTTCGCTATGATTTGTAATATTCCTTTTCTTTTATATGTATGTATATGTGGGGTTTATAGGGGCGCGAACATACTCCCCCCCGTTGAAGAGCCAAGTTCTTCAACCTTTAAATTCAACAGCAGCGGGAAGTCGGCAGAGTCGAACCAACGGCCGACGTATACATCCTTTAGTGGTATGAATATCAGCGACTCTAGAAATCCCATCTGATCCAGGATATAATCGTGTAACTCTACCCATCCTCCAATTTAGCGGGGGATTATTATCTTCGTGAATCAGTACTAAATCTCCAACATTAAGCGTCGCCCTTGTTGTCTTCCACTTTGTTCGTTGTTGCAATTCGGTTATGTACTCCTTCTGCCATCTTCTCCAAAAATGCTGACGTATCTGCTCCAAACGGGCGAAGCGGCTTAAAGATGTCTCCTTCAGGTCCTCCAGTGCGGCTGATGGTAAAGCATTCAAAGGTCTTCCAATCAAAAAGTGCCCGGGGGATAAGGAAAGTAAGTCATTTGGAGAGGAAGACATGGGACAAAGGGGACGGCTGTTTAAAATTGCTTCTACTTGTGCTAATAATGTACTAAATTCCTCGAACGTAAGATGCGTATTTCCCATTACTCTTTTAATATGATACTTTGCGGATTTCACACCAGCCTCCCACATTCCGCCAAAGTGGGGAGCGTAAGCCGGAATAAAATTAAACTTTACTTCCTCCTGAGATGCAAACTCGGATAGACGTTTATTATTTTGTTTTAAAAAACTAGACAATTCTTTGGCTGCTGCCACAAAATTTCGACCGTTGTCTGAATGTACCTCCGTTGGCTTACCACGACGCGCTACAAATCTACGGAAGGTCATTATGTAAGATTCCATTGATAAATCTGACACTGCCTCCAAATGTATACATTTGAATCGCAAACATATAAAAATACATAAATAACACTTTGTTGCTTTAGCGCCTCGACCCTTTCTATTTAGGATAAGAAAAGGACCAGCATAATCTACGCCAACAGTCCTAAATGGAAAATCAACTGATACGCGATATGCAGGTAAATCGCCCATTCTGGTTAAAAGTGTTTGGCCGCGCACACGGCTGCAAACAAGACAATCCCTTACGACACTTCTAGCGAGCCTCCTGCCGTTAATAGGCCAAACGGTTTCTCTCAAGGTAGCCAGTAGAAGCTGTGGACCAGCATGCAGATTTTTGATGTGTTCACGTTCAAACAGTAACCTTGTCGAACGATGCGAGGAGTCAATTAATATGGGATGCTTCTTTTCAAATGGGTAGTTGGAGGAACCAAGTCGACCACCAACACGTATTACAAACTGCTCATCCAAAAATGGTGATAGAGACGAAATTTTCGATTTACTGCTCAACGCAACGCCCTTCAAAAGTTTCTCGTACTCTGCCTTAAAACACAATGATTGATTAATTTTGCAAATTAAAATAAATGAGTTTTGCAACTCCTCGGGCCTAAAATACCCTGTATACTTCATGGATTTAGTTTTAGAATTTATATTATGGCAAAAACGCAACACGAAAGCCAGAATTCTACGTACTTTATCAAAATTCGAAAATTTATTAAAGTCGATTAAGGGTATTCCCTCATCTACGATCGCAATAGTGAGTACCTTGACTTCAGGTAAGTTCTCAACTACTGTTTTTCCGTTTAATTTGGGCCATTCTAATTCATTTTTTTTTAAATAACTAGGACCTGACCACCACAATTCCATGCTAGAAAGCTGGTTGCTATTGACTCCACGAGATATTAAATCAGCAGGATTGGAGTCAGTTGGAACATAGTACCACGATTTGGGATTAGTTAATTCCAGTATTTCGCCTATTCTGTTAGCAACAAATTGCTTAAGCTTCATTGGATTACTGTTAATCCATCCCAAACCCACACTCGAGTCGCACCAGTGAAACGTACGAGTAGGGAGCCCTCTTAATGAATCAAGTACACTCCTAGACAGTCTAGCAGCTAACAATGCGGCACAGAGTTCGAGACGAGGTATGGTGCACGGTTTAAGAGGTGCCACCTTTGACTTTGAGCATAGTAGCCTCACCGTGATCTCGTTGTCACAGCTCGTGGATCTCAAGTATACACAAGCACCATAAGCGCATTGCGAAGCGTCACTAAAGGTATGCAGCTCAAAAGATGTCGGAGACTCGCACAGCACCCTGCGGGGAATCTGAAGACTTGCAAGAAAAGACAGGTTATTGTAGATTTCAGACCACTTCTCCCTAAGATCCACAGAAATGGGTTCATCCCATCCTATTCCTTCTAGCCATAGCCTTTGGACTAATATTTTTGCTTGAATAATGCAGGGGCTCAAAAGACCAAGCGGGTCATAGATTTGAAATGAAAGCGACAGTATAATTCTTTTTGTGATGGTGCTTATATCAATGTCAGTATTAACCTTGATTGGAAAGTTGAAAGTATCATTCACAGGGTCCCAACCAAGACCCAGGGTGTGCGAAGACTCACTTAACGTTAAGACATCTGCAGAACTCAAATCTGAATCTTCAAACAAAACCTTTGAATTTGTTTTAAATTTCCTCAAGGGGAAACATGCTGAATTTAGGGCGTTTGTTACTGAATTTAGTATGTGACGTAACTCTAGTTCATTATCACAGCCGGTGATCAAATCATCAACATAGAAATCCTTTTGTATGATATCTTTGATGAATTGTTCACCACATTCCTCTCCAACTTGGTTTAAACATCTAGTACTCAAGTAACTAGCGCTTGCAGTACCATATGTTGTAGTATTGAGACGCCATGTTTTAATGGGCTCATTCTCATTTTCCCTCCACAAGATCAGTTGCAAGTCCCTGTCTTCTTCATTGACATTTATTTGACGGTACATTTTAGCTATGTCACCGGTCAAGAGAAATTTGTGTTGACGGGCTCTGACCAATATGGAAAAAAGCGACTGTTGGACGTTAGGGCCCACCATCAATATATCGTTTAAAGAATATCCTGAAGTTGTGGGAGAGGAGCCATCGAACACGACTCGAATTTTGGTTGACTCACTCTCCTCTTTAAAGACAGCATGATGACATAAAAAATATGATGGATATTGTTCTTTCGTGGGTGATTCAGACATATGACCTAAATCTTGATATTCCCGCATAAAGTTTGTATATTGTAATTTTAGCTCTGGATTTCTTTTAAATCGCCTTTCAAGGTTTAGAAGCCTTTGTTTGGCTCGAAAGTAAGAATCTCCAAGGCAGTCGGGAGTATCCTTTAGAGGCAACTTCACGCAAAATCTGCCCTCTGGAGAACGAGATGTATTCTTCACAAAATGTTTTTCACATTCAATATCATTGTAGCCGAGAACTGTCTTTTGTGGCAGATCTTCGAGCTCCCAAAATTTTGTTATTAATTCATCAACCTTAAGTGTTTTATTTTGATTGAGAGATGCATGATTGCAAAAAAACTTATTATGTCCCAATAAGTTAGTTGAACCAGCAACAATCCAACCGAATTTAGAACTTCGTAATTGTATTTTGTTATTTGGTCCCAAGTATTTTTGCTTACAGCCAAGAATGTCCCAAAAGAGATCCGCACCAATCAAAACATCAACCGGAGCAGGATGGGCAAACTGAGGATCTGCAAGCCTTATGGTTTTGGGTATGTT